GTCAGCATGAACATGCTCTGGCAACTGGGCAGGACTTAGAGAGGATTACTACTGTGTTCTTTATGCCTGTCTTTTTGGACAGCTTGACATGTCTGTACTTCTGTGCAATCCAGCTGTTGGGTAATCACCCTCGTTCTTTTGATTTGCCCCAATTTTGAAACAGTCTCTAATCCAAAATTGGTATTCAGAATAATACAGGAATATTGGGTCAACACATAAGCTCTCCAAGTTTTTCACTGCCTAGAGCAGAGCTTTTTCTCTGTTAATTTAGGTATATGCACAGTGCTCATACACACACCATCTGTTTTCTAAGGTTAAGTACTTGCCTCATCTGAGGATACTGTATTATTTACTACCTTATTGGTTCAGAGTAATTTCTGGCATTGGGAATACTCCTGTTCACAGGCCAAAGAAAGTTTAGGACATGTGGAGTATTTATTAAGCAAGTTCTTATGAAGTCCTTCTTACGAAGTTTCTGCTTTTGTTTTGTGCACAAGCAAAAACACAAAGCACAAGAAGATGTCACAAAAAAAAATCAACCCTTTTCATAGTTTTTATTTATACCAAAAATATTCATGACTAACTGAAGCGTTTGAGAGTGGTTTTACATGGCAATGAAGAACTGAGACCTTGGTCAAGGGCAATCATAAAACACAAGTGAAATTCTAATCATTGCAACATTCAGCTAACAACAGAAGAAAGTGCAAAATGTGATTAAGAAGGTGAAGAGAAGCAGTAAGCGTTTTCATATATTCATCAAGTTATAGAAACGACACTTTCAGAATAGCAGATGGCTCTGAATATATTTAGTTTAGAAGAGTGAAGAAAGTATTGTCCTCATGCAAAGTGAAAATCAGAATCTGAAAGCTGGAGTTTATAGCCTCTGTACTGCCATAAGTGTCTTCACAAAAGACCAGAGAATGAAAGCAAGACTCTGCTTTTAAACTGAAAAGGTTACACACACACACACACACACAAGAAAAAAAAAAAAAAAAAAAAAAAAAAAAAAACAAAACAAAACACAGGCAATTCAAAGGGAAGAGTAAATCATAAATCATGAGTTATAGTGAAGGACAAATGACATGGCTTAACATGTTTATATTGACAAAGCAGTCTCTGATTAGATATCTAATAGATATCTAGATATACCCAGTAAATATCATATCTTGCACCAACCCAGATATGAAAGGGCCAGTCGCACACATTTATGGGCTTAGTCTGTGAAGTAGTGACCTTAGAGTGGAGGAATTTTCTGCAGCTGAGCAAAGAGCCCTTGGTGTCCAACATGTTCTCATCCAGATGTCCACAGAAGTTCCTTTCATGTGACTGTATGCAGCTGTTTGTGGAGTGTGAACGAAGAACTGAGGGAGCGATGCCCAAAGAAGTTTTGTATAGTTCATTCAGTGGAAATCCTCTGGATTATTGTTGCTTTAAGCAACTTTGATTGATGGTTTACACGGGCAGATGAACTTGGCATCAGATGAACCACAGTTTTTATACTTTTTTGTTACAATAGAAAGTATGGCTACACCCTTAAACAGACAGAGCATTTGTTTTAAAATTGCTTTTAGCTTTCTCAGTTCTCCTTACATTGATTTCCATCTTGTGTTCAGAAATCAATTTGTAAAATGTTAAAACCCAGTCATTTCTAGACTTCTCTCTGCAGAATTACAAGTTTGTGAGTGGGAAAGATTTCAATGACACCTATTTAAAGACTTCAACAAAAAAAGCAATTAAGTAGGCGATGAGATTTTTTTTTTTTAAAGGAATCAAACTAATTCCTTCTGAGCAATTAAAAAAGCTAAGTTTGATCTGCTCCGACAGCAGCATTTATATTTAATTACAGATCAGCTATATTGGTTTATTAAATTCTGGAGAACAGATATTATGTAAGGATAATAAATACTGTCCAGTGAGTAAATGGAACAGTAAGCCAGAAAACATGGCAATTTTCAGGATTAGAGAAACTTCTCTTCAAACAATTCTGTGTTTCTTCCTTAAGGAGAAAGCAGGATATATGACCCTGTTGGTACTAACAGTGCAGATTTTTCTGCTACCTATTTTCTATCTAAGTGTGGTCTGATAAACCATCGTTGGAAGTACTTGAAAAGGAAGTGTTGATAACTGACAACAACAGTAATATTTACATGGATTTTCAGTCTTTACATTAGCGTTTTATCTCTAAGAAAATAAACCAAAGAAAAGCACCTAAAGACTGAACACCTAATCTTACATTACAACTGGCAATCACTCTTCACTGAAAACCTATTTTAAAACAGTCACAAAGACAAGCACAGAGCAATCTCCTAAAAGGTACTTTTTCCTTTTGTCATTGAAATCAGTGCAAGATTTCATTGTCCAGACCACTCTGATTCTGCTCAAGAACTGACATGTGCCAACCCCCTCTGCCAAACAGAAACTTCAGGATCTTCATGTGCGTGCAGGACTCTCTGGACCTCTGTGCAGAGATGCAATACCAAATTGAAATCACAATTCAACCAAGGTCAAAGCTATGAACCGTGAAAGCATATGAACTGTGAAACAGCAGCAAAATGTTTGGCTTAAGAGATGAACAACTGTGGATGGATTTTTAAGGATTTTCCTGGATTTCAGGAACTGTTTTAGAAACCTTAAAGACCCTTCTTCAACCACTATTCCTTTTCAGTAAGCTTGCACATACTGAAGTTTCAATAATGTCTCTGTGCTTTTGAGCAGCAGCTATATAAATATTAAATCCATCCATTAAATGTTCTGCAACAATACTCTGGTTGGCTAATTGTCTCTGCTTTATAATGAGAAGATGTATTCTTGCTTTGACAGAGGCTTAACTAAATATATATATATATGGCAAATATATATATATATTTGCCAAACAATATTTTGCAATTAATTATTGTAAAAAGAATGGTCCTATCTAAGACAGATTGCTGACACTCATAAAAAGGATTGAGGCACATCTTTGCCTCAACAGCTATAAAGCTGCTGTAGGCTACTAGCTTGTGCTTTTGAAAAGTCAGCAAGTGGTTCTCTGCTTCCTAGAGGCAGTATATGTATTATATTCTTAACTCATTGCTAAGAAACTTTTAGTTGAATAATTTTTCTTCCCAATTCATGAAAAGAAAACTCCAGTGGTGACTTCATTCATATGTGCTTTTCAATATGATAAAACCATGCAGTGTTATTCAAAACAATGTTATTTGTGATTTGCCTTACATAAGCCCCTGTATGAACAGAGTGCAATTATATGAAACATTACACAGATATCATAAATAACATAATACATTGTCTACAAACACATACCCCCTTTAAATTGCTTTATATAAAGACATATTAACAAGTAGTAGGTGTGCTTTTAGCTTCAAGCTTTTCACAATGACAATATCTGTATCCTCTTTAGCCAGTATTATCAAAATACAAGATACACACCATTACAAGAGTTACAGTATAATGATTAAAAGCTTAAGAAATAAATATCCAAACTATACATGCCCTTAGCAAGGTTCGTGAAGACAAAATTGTTTCATGTGTCATTTTTTAATATAAATGATCAATAGAGGGCAGCAAATTCCTTGTAAAATCCAGGAGTTCTATAGATATAAGAGACTAGATATGGAAAAGTATATTAACAAATATATTACTTAGATTCAAGAAGCAACAAGGGAAGTACATGATTTACAAAGTATCTGCTGTTAACTCAGAAAGCTCTCAAGTGTTTTGGTACATCAGCAGTCCTTAGCTGGTGAGGTATAAAGGCTCTAATTCAACACAGCACTTCCCGACATGTTAAATTTCTGCTTAGTGAAATTTAAGCTTGATGAAGTGTCTGTTTAAAGATAGATTCCTGAAACTGGGAAGGAGTTAAAATGTGGGAGGACCTTAGGGATTTAATATTCAGTTTTGAGAAACATTCATTGGTTGTCATGGTTTTTGGAATGAAGTGAGAAACCTACCCCTGTCCAGCACCCATACCATCCAGCCCCAGTACTAGTCACTGCCTCCCCAGCTAAGCTCATGCTTAATCTAAGTACTCATTTTTTTGTTTGTTTGTTTGTTTTTTAAATAAATTCTTTTTTAATTGTTATCATTATTAATTTATTTCAGTATTTTAATGACTTGTATTTATCTATTCAGTTATGTCCTCCTGGCAGGCATCTCAGAAAAGCTCACATCACTAAGTAGAATTTACTTATTTATTTATTCATATATTCATTTATTTAATTTTATAGGTCTCCTGCACAGAACCCAAATCAGGGATGTGGCTTGAACTTGTGGCTGCTGGTACCACTAAGGTACCACAGACTATTGCCCTATTACACCAGTTGTTTAATAGCAGCTTTAGCAATCCATTTTTAATGTTACCTGTTGAAAATGCTGAAGATACTCTGACAGGATACCCCCGTCTAGAAACACAAGAAAAGAGAAAGATTGCAGAGCTAGCTTTTTTATTCCCTGTTCAATTCACTGCAGAGATAGAAATAGCTTCATGTTTGCTTAATTCTAAAATAAACTTTATATGATGAAGTCCAAACTACTCCCCTCTAAGGGTTTTGCAAATTTGTTTGAATGGAGAGACAAGAAAATTCAGCAAATACTTCTATATCAGACCCTATCACCATTCATCTCCCCAAGCACTTTAATCCCTACTCTGTTCCTCTTTCTATGGTGTGAGAGAGCTACATCTCTCAGCACGTCCAGAGAACCTTCTTGCCCTTTCTTCAGCACAATCAACATGGAAGAAAGCAATACAAATTTTAGACAAATTTGGGCAGCAACCCACACAGCTAGCAAAACGACATGGGAACAATAAGAAACTATTTAAACAGTCACTAGGAAGTTAAAACAAATTAAATTAAACTTTAAAGGGAGGGGGGGGGAAGATGGGAGAGGGAAAAAGCAACAACAACAACAAAACACAACTAAAAGAAACAAACAAAAACCAACCCAAGAGCTAAATAAAGCATGGAGAAAGAAGGAAGGAAGCCAACATTTGGGAAGCATATTAAGTTAGCTTGTTTGGGTGAGGCTGCACGGCAACAGACTCAGCTTTGCTCCTGAGTTCTGTGAAAAACAGGATTGTAACAACCACATACCTGCCAAGTCCTGCACAGATAACAGATGTTAGGGACACTCCTTTACTCAAAGTGGAGCCAAGATCCAAGATCTGTTGAAAGGTAACACATTTATCTTCTTCTGTATAAGAGAAATGCACAAATAAGCTCCTCTAACTGCACTGTTGCTGAAGGTAGAATATTTATAAACAAATCATGAGGCATTTCCTCGTGAAAGGTCCTTCCCAGTTGAAAAGTGGGAGAGTTAAGTTAGGTTAGGTTATGTGAAGGTGATGTGAAGTCCTTGCTGGACTAGCTAAGCCGATCTGGAAAAACCAAGTACAGCAGGACCCAGCAAAAGTTCATCTCTTAAATATGGACAGGTGAACATAAGAGATTCTCTCTAGAGTGTAAAAGCACAAGTGAATGGTTGATTGAGGAAGCCTGAGTTTTACTTTAGTTTTACTAACATAAGGATACCGTGTAAAGCAACTATTTTAATAAGGAATTAGATCTCAGATTTCTGACTTATGTGGATTAATGTCATATAAAGAAGATAGAATCCTTTCTAATGAGGTTTTGGTACCATCACTTATAATAGACAAAGCTTTTGTGATTGTACTTTAAATACTATAATTCAATTTCTTCCTTTCATTACTTAAAAAGTGAACTTGGATCCCTATATTGTGGTTTTCTGAGGCTGACTTTCCTGCAGGCAAGTATTGGTTTGTACTTAAAATGGACCATTTAATATGGGGATTTTTTTATGTGTTGGTATATAATGTGGAAGACAAATTTTATTCCACTGAAGTACCTGTGTTTGGCTTAGCTTTTTATGTTTAACAATTGGTGATGTCTAGTAGCTTTCAGTTATAGGGGGGCAGGAGAGAGACAGAAGGGTTGAAAAAAAGTAAACTAAAACCATGATCCAAAGGTCTTATTAAAGGATCTTTGGGCCTGCTTTAAGATTTTTTTTTCCTAGAATATTTGAATTCTATCATATAACTATTTTATGTTTTTAATCATATTCTTCAATTGCTTAAATTATCATTCTCCAGGGAATAAAATTTTTAGAAGAGAAACTTAAAATTATATCGAATGTATTCATCATAAAATATGCTAACCTGATTAGTTCTTTTGACTGTAATGACTCATGTGTCACTTGACAGAGACTAGTGCTTTGGATCCTCACTGGTAAAGCAATACCCATGAAATTCCTGATGTGTCTGCCCCACCTAACAAAACATGTATTAAAAGTACAATGACCTGTGTTGGTGATTAAGGAAGAGTGAATCTCTGCTATAATTTTTCCTTTCTTCTGTGGGTGAGGTCTCTTTGAGTATGGTAATGTTAGAGAAAAGGGACAGTTGCATAGCCTACTTTCCTAGAAAACGTGATGAAATAGATTCCATGTCAGTGGAAGAGAGAAGAATCACCTTTAGAGTAGCTAAAGAAAAAGGCAAGGGCAATTCTGTTTTCTTATGTTGATGTGGAAAACAGGAGGACATGCTAGAAAATATCTTTCTTATCTGAGTGAATGTGGTGTATGCTTTATTAATTATATGATACAATGTCAGTGAAAGAAGTTAAGTAGTACTGCCCCTCGTTCTGGACATCTCAGATGGTGCTTGTGAGCCTAGACCCATAGTTAGATATGGTAGGAAGATTTCTGAAATGCATATCTGCAGTGTTCCATCTTAGTCTAGTTAAAATATATTCTGTTCCAGAGAGGAAAGGCATTGGGGTGGTAAGGCTGAGGGGACTGGCTATATATCCCTCTGAGCCAGACGTTAGATCTGTGTCCTCTACCACCTAGCTGTGTAGCTGGGCTGTGCACACCCTACTGTCCTGCTACTGGAACTGCGGAGCAGGAAAAAGTAGGTTTCGAAGAGCAGCTGTTGTTTTCTGGTCAGCTGAAGTTATAGCACCTTTCTGGAGTTCAGCTTGCTTAAATTTGCTAAGCTGAGCTACAAGGAATTTGGGCTGTTCTGAGTTCATCCTTAATTCTTCCCTACTTGAAGGGATATAGATGGCTTCCTGTTGCTTGCAACAACTGGGAACCTTATGTAGCTGCCTAAGGAGTAAGAAAAGAGATCAAAATTTCACAAAGAGTTGAGAAAAGGAAGGGCATAACTTTATCTCCACTGACTGATAGAACTCATGCAGGTGTATTTGGTACCCTGTTGTATATGGTAGGGCCCAATCCTGCATTTACTTAAACAGATACACCACATCAATGGCTTCTAAGTAGCATACCTTGAGATAAATGTTTCATTGGGGAAAAAAAAATAAAAATGTATAGCCTGGATATTTGATTATCACTTATAAGAGAAAATGTCTAAGCACTCAACTATTTACAATGTAATGTAATAATCTTTGCCTTTTTGAAGATTGCATTTGAAAACTCATTGTTAAATGTTTTTTTGTTCTCTTTTTTTTTTTTTTTTTTCCTTTTGCCTCCTGTACCTTTCTCATCATAGGTATGTTTTCTGGGCGGTAGCATATCAGACTGGTTATTTATTGTGCAGGTGTTCTGCATGTGTCTTTTGAAGCTGTTATTTTTAAATGGCAGTTTTAAACACTTTTACTTCCTTTTAAATGTAACCATGTATAGACCTACATGACTTTGAGCAATTTATCCCATTATATCTGCAGGTTGTTGCTCTTCATTACTTAGGTTTTCAAGGATAAAGAACAAGCAGCTAAAATCAGAGTAATTGGATATGCTTCAACTCTCTCTCTGGTGGCGAATGTAGAACAAATGATTAGTTACACTGCGCTGTAGTTTAGTTCAGACCTTACGTTCAGTGCTAAAGTACTTTGTCTTAATTTAGACCTTGGGCATATAAGCACTTGAGCTTGTGTCTAGAATTACTCATATAAGTAAAGCTATTGACTTCAAAGTTATTGACTACCTGTATGAATAAAGTTCAGTTTTTATAAGGTCAAAGGTCTGGAGCCATTATTTCTTGACTGTGCAATAAAAGGAGGCTCAGAAAGCTATGGCTTTTGTACCATTAGCAGATTTTTTAATTTTTTATTTTTCTCATGGATATGGATCTACAATGAAAAGAGTTTTTGATGTTGTTATTCTGGAGATGAACACAACAGCAAGGATATCTTTCCCTTCCAGAAATCTCACTCAGTCTGTTCTCATTATTTTAGCAGTCTTGTGAAGGTTCTCCGCAGGCTTGGTGGTTTGAAATAGTGAGGCCTGATCCAAGCATAGTCAGTAGAAAGGCTTTTCCCTCTTTTTTTTTTTTTTTTTTTCCTTCAGGGACTGTCTTCTGGGATAGATTGTGGTGCTTCCCATTCACAATGACCCTTTGGGCCTGGCCACCCAGCCAGTTTGTAACCTAGCAGACAGTGCATCTATCCAAGCCATGAGCAGCCAGTTTCTCCAAGAGGAGGCTCTGGGAAACATATGAAATGTTCTCCTAAAGTACAAGTAAATAACACCCACACCCTTTCCCTCATCCACTCAGCAGGTCATCTTCTTTTAAAAAGAGATAAGGTTTTTCAGGTAGGACCTGCCTTACTTAAACTCATGCTGACTGGGTCTGATCACCAGGTTGTCTTGTTCATACCATTTGATGACCTTCCTGGAACTGAGGTAGATGACAGGCCAGTAATTCCCCAGATCCTCATTTCTGCCCTTCTTGTAGATGGGTATCACATTTGCTAACTTTGAATCAACTGGGACATCCTCAGTTATCTGGGACTGCTGATATATTATTGAAAGTGGCTTGGTGAGCACTTCTGCCATCTCCTTCCTTAGTTGTATCTCAAAAGTCCTGGTTGCATTGCTGACAGCTACCATCAGAACTGTAACAGCTGCTGACCCTGAGCCTTTGCACCTACAGTGTAAGCTGCAGACATCCCTCCCTCACAATTCTTACTCCATGCTCTTGGTAGACCACTTGACAGCAGGACCTCTGGGTCTGTCCCACTCCTCGTGTGTCCTTCTCACTTCCTAGACCAAGCCGTCCCAGTACACAGAAGGTCAGGGAATGAGTATGATGTGGACTGGCCACCACCAGTGCCTGGTGGAAGCTCTGTTGCAGAAGTCAACTCTGGAGAGAGGGAAGTTTCTCATAAAACATTACATAGCTAAAAGTTGTGGTCTTTCTTCAGGTGACAGTTGATGGGAGTGGCCTCAATACCTTGATGAAGGCCTGGGTTGGAGAAACCAGCTTAGAAAACTGCCAAAGACAGGCATGCAGGGAGGGGCATTATGTAACGAGAGTGTGGAGGGCCTTGTACACTGTTGAGCCTGAAGGTGGTAAGTGGAGCTTTGAACAGAGCAATGAGAATGCTGTAACTGACATGAAAGAGACATTCTGAAATAAAAGAAAACAATTCTTCAAATAACCAGACAGTTGAAGGAGTGAAATGTTTGCCTGTAATGGGCTTGTCCAGTCACTGAATTAAGAAAAAATCAATGTCTGAAGTGAGTGCCAAACAAATATAATGAGGAACAGGTAAAGCATTAATCATCTTTATTAAACGATATTGAATGTCCACAGTCCCTAACCAGTCCCAACTATACTGGCTGCTGAACTAACACAGACTTATCTGCCATTGCTCACAGGTGGGTTCACTGCTACAGCAGCATGAAAACTCAATGAAAAGACTGCAAATACCTACAAGTACTAGTTGGAGATTATTTGGATTTCTCAGTCAAATCTCATCTTGAATCCATCACTTCATTTTCTTCATATCATTTACTTTCTCAAACAATAACGATGTTTTGTCATATTAACTTGCTTACTCTGCAGCACAGACTAGCATTTTCTTCAGGATTTTCTCCCTCTTTGAGGTGCTTTTGCAGACACACATCGCATATACAAACTACCATGAGAACACAGGATGGCTGTTATAACCCAAGTCCCTTTTTTTTATTTTTTTGTTTCATTGCATGTTCTATTCCTGATTTTAAAGTGGTTGAGGAGGTGTCCAGCTTGAATAATATATAATATATATAACATTTATATGTTATATATAAATATATATAAAGTCTATATATAACATTTTTGAAAATGTTATATTCTATAACATTTATATTCTATATTTATATGTTATATTCTATAACATATATTCTATAACATTTTCAAGGGTTCTTA